TAGCTTACATATGACAAAGAAGGTATGCAAAGTTTTATGAAGTTTGCTTCACTAGTTGTGGAATAACAAGCAAAAAACTTTTGCGGAAAGGCCGCTGGCCTCTCGCTGGAGCGTTTCCGACCAGTGTGCACTGGGGGGGCTATTTATAGCCCCCCTCCCGTTTTTCTGCAATAACTTCCAAACCGCTTGACGTATCGACGCCAAACTTTCAGTACCTTTGGCTGCATCAATTTGACACCTTGTGTGAAAATTTGAACTTCGTACCTACCATAGGTCGGCCGGAAATGACGTCAGAGTGACGTCATGTTCGGCCGATTTCGACGCAAAACATTGAACCACGGCAATCGCTCCCAAGAGCTCAGTTTTTAAGCTAGATCCAATTGCTTTGCATGAGAGGTCTCAGCATAGACTGCGCTATCAAACTGCTATCTCGGATTTTCGAAAGTTTGAAAATTTCGAAAATTTTATATAATAAAATTCAAAATTTATATTTTTACATTTTCTTCAAAACTTTTTTGACTTTTCAAAAAAAACGGAATATATGTGATAGAACGCATTATTATGACTAACTCTAGCAAGTTTAAGCTAAATATCTTCAAAAATGGCCAAGTTATACGCATTATTGCAAAAAATTAACAATTATTAATTTTTCAAATCAATTTTTCAGCACGAATTTGACAATGTACGCCAATATAAATAGCACCATCGTGTTCCGGAGCTCAAACTGCATCCAATAGACAACTTTTTTGTTGAAAAATTATAACTTCAAAATTTGACCTTTTTTGACCTGAAAGTGACCTGACATGAGCTAAATTTGACTCAAAATGACCTCGAATGACAAAGACGACATCAAATTCGAAATGTTTGGCCTAAATGGACCATAAAACATGTGTCACGTGACCGACGGATGATATAATATTTTCGTGACCTGTGATGACCTGGCCTTGACCTGAAAATCAAAGTACAAGTTTGGTACCCTCAGGGTATCTAGAGCATCTGTTCACGAGTGTGTGAACCAAAAATGAGCCTGATCTGACTTGTAAGACGGCGGCCAGAGCCCAAAACGTGAATAAGCCAAAATGCTAATAATTTTTACTTTGACCTGACCTGTGACGTCATCGGTGACCTCGAGGTCAATGAAATTAGGTTTCGCTCGACAATTTTTCCGGGGCTATCAGACGCCGTTTGAATTTTGACGATCGGCCCAGTAGTTTCGGAGTTAGGAGGGGGGGCTATGAATAGCCCCCCCCCCCCCAGTAGGGCGTGTTATACGCATTACGCAGACCCCAGTGGGGCGCGGGTTAAAGGCCCCGTACCTGATTCTAAGGGCCTATCTGTGTTGACTTCTCAGGACCCACCCTTACCTACCTACCTCTGAAGAGCCCTATGCGTGCGTAAGGCCCTGATCTCAACACCGATAGGCGATAACTCCCTACGTCAGCCAAGGGCCCTATGCAGTATACATTACACACGCCTCTGAGATCCCATACTAGCTCATGCAAGCTCACCAGGCCTCATCGGTTCCACGCCACTTCCTAAAGGTATCCAGCCGGCATACACCATGAGCGGAGCTTTCTGGGTTGCACCGCACCAACCCATGTTGATGTGGTCGTACTGAAGTGTCGTATAGCCACGCTCATTTGATAGGGTCCACCCGCCAGCTGAGGAGGGTCTCGTGCCAGCCAACGCTGGACCTACGTGAACCTCAAGGAAACCCACTCATAGACCCCATATAAGTTAGAATATGTCTCACATCCGACTATACTCGCGATCCGGTGCCACTACGGCGACTGCCAAGAAGGCGACCGCATGCGAAACTGAGAGCTACTCCATGAGTGAAAATATTGCTTCATTTAATGGTTAAGTAAAAACGTTTCATTTCATAGGCGTAGGAACAGGGGGGGCCAGGTGGGCAAGTGCCCACCCACTTTTCGAGGTGGGGGGGCCAACCATGTGTTTTGGCCCACCCACTTTTTACTCGAGGCCCCTCGTCTCGATTTGAGAGGACGTCGTCATCTTCCAGAATAAACAAACTCGGTAAAAATAAGTCCCACGAATCCTCACGCACGGACTCCAAGGGGCCGTGATGGATCCAAGGAGGCCCTCTGTTCATACTTGTCAGTCGAAGCCCCTGAGACTGATGGCCTGAGAGGCCCTAGTGGATCTGAGGAGGCCCCAATATCCACACTGGTCTGGGGAGGCCCCTGACACTGGCGGTCTGGGAGGCCCCTCTATCCACACTAGTCAGAGGTCTGAGACTGGTGGTCTGGGAGGCCCCTCCATCCACACTAGTCAGAATAGGCCCCTGACACTGGCGGTCTAGCCGAGGCCCCTACCCTCACTAGTCAGAGGAGGCCCCCCTATCCTCAATAGTCAGAAGAGGCCCCTGAGACTGATGGTCTGGGAGGCCTATCCATCTACACTGTAGTCAGAGGAGGCCCCTGAGACTGATGACCTGAGAGGCCCTTATAATCACACCAGGCAGAAGAGGCCCATGAGACTGATGGACTGAGAGGCCCTTCTATTCATACTGGCCACAGGAGACCCCCAAAACTTTCGGTCTGGGAGGTCCCTCAATCCGGCACCAGTCAGAAGAGTCCCCTGAGACTGATGGCCTGGGAAGCCCTTATATTCACACTAGGCAGAGGAGGCCCCTGAGACTGATGGTATGAGAGGCCCTCATATTCACACCAGTCAGAAGAGGCCCCCGAGGCTGATGGCTGTGAGGCCCTTCTGTTCATATAAGTGGCCACTGGAGGCCCCCTGAAACCGGTGGTCTGTGAGGGCCCTCTATCCAAACTAGTCAGAAGAGGCCCCTGAGACCGATGGTCTGAGAGGCTCTTATATTCATACTGGCCACAAGAGGCCCCTGAGACTGATAGTCAGAGAGGTCCACTCCCAATGAATCTGAGGGGCCCTCTATCCACATTTAGACTTTTCTAGGGAGGCCCCCGAGACTGATGGTCTGAGAGGCCCTTTTATTTATACTGTCCACAGGAGCCCCCTGAGATTAATGGTCTGAGAGGCTCTTCTATTTATACTAACCAGAAGAGGCCCCTAGGATTGATGGTCTAACAGGCCCTTCTATTTATACTAGCCATAGGAGGCCCATGAGACTGATGGTCTGAGAGGCCCTTCTATTCAAACTAGGCAGATGAGGCCCCTGAGAATGATAGTCCGAAGAGCCATGCGGCGGCAACTGGCCGTGGCCATATTTCGGCTTGGTAGGGCCCCACAGAGCTCATGAGAGCACCTCAAGGGCTCCTAAGTAGACACGCTTATCCCCATAAGGGTGCCACGCCGGCTTCTGAAGGCTCCTTGTAGGCATCTAAGGGCCCTTTCCGGCCTCTAACGGCTCCACCCGCCTGTGATGGCTCCACACCAGTGTTAAATGAGCGCCACACAGCGGCGCCTTTGAGCGTCATACATACTAGTGTCTCTTAGGGCCCTATATCGGTGGCTCTGGGGGCCCCACACCGGCGCCTCTGTGGGCCACCACACCTGTACATCTCAAGGCTCTATAGGTACATCTGAAGGACCCACACCGACACCTCTGAGGGCCCCACACCAGTATCTCGGAGCTCTGAAGGCCCCACACCGGTGACTCTGAGGACTCACCGGTTCCTGAGAGCACCATGTTGATGGCTAACGGCTCCTCAAGGCCACTGAAGGCACCACACAAGCTCTCACTGAGCTCTAATGTCCATGTACCGGCCTCTGAGGGATTTAAGCCAGCGCATTCATAGCTCCACACCAGCAATTGTAAGGGCTTCACACTGAAGTATCTGAGGGTTCCACACCGGTGTCTCTAAGGGCCACATACCGGCATCTCTGAGGGCCCCATACCGGCGTCTCCGAGGGTCCACATCTGGCGGGCACCCATCAGCGACTGAAGGTCCCACACTGTCGACTCCGAGAGCCCCATCTGCGGCTGGGAGCACCATGCCGTCTCTAAGAACCATAGCGGCTCCTCCGTCGAAAGATGGGCGTCTGCATGCCAAAGGGCAGCGGTTCTGAGACAGTAGGGCACCTACGTGCAATAGAGGGGCGCCTATGAAGCCCATAGGGGCGCCTCAATGCGAAAGAGGGGTGCCTCTGAGGCCTACATACCTATATGGGTGTCCGCATGCAATAGAGGTCTGCAAATAATTGATCAATGCCATGGGGGTGCATTCAGAAGAAACAGGGGCGCCGGCATGGCAAAGAGAGGCGCCTTCAAGTGTCCATAAAAGGGAGTCGCCTATGATAAGCGCACATTGTATGCGACAACGGAGCGACTGTGGGACATATAGGGATGTCTCTGATGACTATACATAGGGCGCTTATATGTCAAAGAGGGCGCCTATGAAGCTATTGGGGGCACCTGGGAAACGAGGAAGACATTTGTGTAAGGGTTTTCAGGGGTCATGCGCCGTTTGCGGCAAATAGATTTTAAAAAATCGGAGGGGGAATAAGTTTTACAAATGGTGCGGACTTTCCGCACTGTTCGCTTAAGCGGTTACGCCCCTGGGTACATCTGCTCGATCTCAGAAGCTAGATTTGGAGGTCATACTTGAAAGCAGCCGGCAGGACGAGCCAAAAGTTGGAGGCCCTTGAAAATAGGAGGCCCCCTGGAAAAGGAGGCCCCTTGACAGGGTGGCCCACCCACTTTTCATGACGTTCCTACGCCCGTGTTTCATTTAATGAGAAAATAAAACATATAAAAAGTGCTTTGAAAAACTTTTGTTCGATTCGAAAAGATGGGACCAAAAGAAAATATCACGCACCACTTTTCTGCACCTATGGGGGCCATGGCCCCCATAGGTGGTCCCCTGAGACCACCTGTGGTGATGTGTTCCCTCTAAGTTTCACGGTGCTGCGAGCCTCCATTTTTTTACGCACAAAAAAAACTGGAGTGTGATCATCCCATCCCCCGCCACCCCAACCAGGCGAATTGGTTAACCCGCGCACCGACGGGAGGGGGGGGGGATATCCGCCCGTGCGCGGGTTAAAGACAACTGTTGGATTTTCAACATGCTTGTATTTGACAGCACACACCGATTGCCCGCAAGCCGATTTTCAGTTGACATAACTGTCCTTTGTGTTTTACCAGACGCGAAATAACAGAAGCAGTGAATCCCACAGGTCCAGCACCAGACGTACGCTGCAGCGTGACGTCATCAGTCCAACACCGGGGCCTTCAAGACGGTAGTCGGCAACATGCTGCATGTGCGCGGCACCGAGCAGGGAGGGTACATACGGCGGCGAGGGTGGCGCAGCCTGTCAGAGAGCGCGGCGCAGCGTTCTGACGTCAGACCGACAGCGGTAAATACAGTGACGTCATGACTCACCTATCAGTGACGCGATAACGGTTCAGCCTTTGGTATTAACAACCTGGCTACTGATATTACAGCACTGAGCACACACAAGGACATGATTCTGGAACCTGGAAGATATGCTTTTTTTTGCTGGTCACTTTGTTGCATTGGGATACAATTACATTTACAGGTTTAAACGTGTAATCGTCCTTGGGGTAAAACAAAACAGCTTTCGCTGAATCATACTTTCGTGCGACAAGTACCTACTTGACCACAACCACAGAGGTAATATGGATTGCATGAGCTTCTGCTGGCAGTCCTGTCGGCTGCTGACGCTACGCCGTCGTGCCTTGCAGCCCCTCTGGGCTCTGGCCCTCAGGCGGACAGCTGGCACTGGCCGGGGATGGCGGCTGCCACCTGGTTGGCCTCCTGGAAGGCGCAGCTGAGCACGCCAAGATTGATCCAGCAATTGAAGAAATCTTCGGCGCTCTCGCTGTCCTTGCACTCCGTGACTACAGTGATGATGTTTCCAGCGTCCTCGACGCTGAACTGGATGTTATTGAACAGCGCGCTGATGATGGCTTGAAGCAGCTTCTTGTAATCGAACGAGTCACCGTCCAGAAAGTTTTCCATCAGGCAGTGCAGCGCGTTGACGACGTCTTCATAGGTCGCGGCTGTGTCCAGCCCGCACTGCTCAAAGGTGCGTCCGGTCACGGCCTCCAGCACGTCTTTCAGAGACTGGGGGCTGAGCGGGCAGTCTGCCTGAAGGAAGGCGGCCTGTCGCTGCTCTCCAGCCGCGTCCAGCTCTCCGCGCTCCTGCTGCTGGCGGTCACAGTCGGCGAACAGCGACCAGCGGATACAGAGGAGCGCGTACGCGGTGGTCTGTTCCAGCGGCATACCCTCGGCCTTCTGCTGACAGTTGCCGACTGTCCGTCTGGCGGCCTCCTGCCAGGCCGGGTCACTGCTGAGCCCCAGCTTGTGCGCCTGCATGGCCGAGAACATAGAGGAGACGGCCTCTTTCAGCTCGGATCCCGTCAGAGGCTTGCCGCCGGTCTGGCCCTCGCTGTGAAGGGGGCCGGTCCGTGTCATACCCCGGCCCAGCCGGCTCAAGATGCACATTGCGCATCGTAAAAATAATGGGGCAATAGCCGTACTGTGCATAGTCTAAAAAAAATACAGCATTATATGCTTACCTTCATATTACATCCATGCAAACAGGGGCGGAGCTTGCTATACAGTTGGTGGGGCGGCTGCCCCACCAATAGCTTGATTTGGGGCTCGAATAGAGTGAGCGGAGGATGGCCAGCACGAGGAGGGAGGGAGGGGCAGAGGGGTGGGGGGAAACCCGAGTCGTGGCGCGCGGTTGACGGCCCGGGTCCAGGGACGGGGAGGGGACCGGGCCGCGGCCGAGGCGAGATAAGGCACACACAGTACACACCGGGAGGGAGGGATCTGCCGCAAAACAGGTCAGGCAGTCCAAGACGCGAGCTCAGAGGCGGCGGACAGTGCAGAAGGGTGGAAACCAAGCGACAGGCTGTGGAAAATGGTCCCCTCCCACCCTCCCCAATAGGAACTTCCAATCCGTACATATATATGCTGTCCTATAGACACACTCGTCGTCGGCCCACGTCTTGTTATCGATCGTGATATGAACGATAACACGATTTGGGTGCAGACGGCCATTAACAGAGCTCTTTTGTTGCTTTACAAATCAACCTTTTTCGCATTGGCGAGCTTTGGAATGTCTGTAGGTATAGCGCAAGAGATTATTTCCGTAATGATAGGAATTGTAGTAGCACCATAGAAATTGCTTTAGTTTAACAATTTATTCAACTTGACGATCGGACATTGCAGAATTTGCGTTTTTTTTTTTGCCCCACCAACTTCCCTGGAAAAGCTCCACCCATGCATGCAAACTATTCTCACGACAGGCTTTTGGTAAATCGTTATTATTGGTCTAGACTGTGAAGATGACTAACTTATATAAAGTTAGCTATACCCGACAGCGACGGGAGGGGCATCACCCTTCCGGCGCTTTTTGCGCTGACTCGGAACGCATACCTAACAGATACGTCACAGGACTGGACTATGAAGTATGACTGACATAACCTTCATAAAAGTCAGATCCTTTGAGTTTGCTATCAATTTAAAGTCAGACCGTCATTTTGTCACTAATTTAAAACTTTAAAACCTTAGAAGTAAAAACTTTATTTAACAATGTTTTGCCTTTAACTACACCGTATACAGCCACGCAAAACGAAGCGAAATACTTGAAAAATAAGCTGTCAGTGATCGGGCCAGTGACCTGACCTGACCTGAAAATATACTTGGCCTTATAGGATCCGGCTTGAATCAAAGGCCAGGTATGGCAACTTTGAACTTCATCGACTCGTTCCGAGAGAATCGCGACAAACGACTTGTGGTTCCCGACTTGTGAGCCGATTTGTGAAAAGTTGTCGACATTGGGAACCAAAAAATCGTGCTATTTCTACATTTGTGACCTCCAGTGACCTCAGCGATGACCTGTTCGAGAAATGACCTTTATGAGTCTGACAGAATTTATAACGAGCTATCTATCGCTTTTACTGCGTCCTTCTAGCTTTCTTACTTTCCGAGATAACTATATTGAGACGGGTTACACAGCACATTGGGTGTGCGGCGTAACACAGCACCCAATGTGCTGTGTAACCCGTCTCAATATATATATTTGTCTATTACTACTCAACTTTCCGAGATAACGTGGTGTGGCCAAATACTCCTCCAAAAACCATGGCGAAGTTGGCGAGAGACTCACTCGGAGTGATTTTCCCGTTTTCATGTTGCGTATTACAAATAAAAAAAGATGATTGAATGAAAGCTTGCTTTTAGGGCCTTGGCTTTCCCGATGTAGAGGAGTTTCAACTTAATTTGCCTTTGAATGAAGTTCGTTAAAGGTAGTGTGCCACCTTTGAAAGATTTCCCATTTTATTTTTCCTAGGATAAGAAGCTTCCGTTTTTACCTAATATCGCAAAAAAAATCAAAAATGGGCCTGGAATAGTGCCTTTTTCGCCTAAAAGTTTATCGGTTTTTCGATATGTATAACAACTGTAGTGGGCTGAGCTGCAAACAGGCGTCGGCAACAATCGCGAATGCGGCGCACATGTGACAATAAGCAAAGGTCATTATAGAGTTACGACGTACGGGAATGAGTTATCAGCTGTCTAATCGTAGACAACACAATATCGAGCCTTAAACTGTAAGCCTGTATTGGTATTGTTTCTTTTATTTGGCTGTCGAACATTATTTATGGTTTGAAATATGATTTTATGTAAAATAATTGATATGAAAAAGCCGTCTCTTAACCCGCGCCCCGTTGGGCTCTGCCGAGCAACGCGCCCGGTTGGGGGGGGGGGGGGCATTTTGGCCCCCCTAAGATCTCGAGAACCACGCAACATAGCGACAAGCGGTAAACGGTGTTGGATAGCCCCAACGGGGAACTACCTTGTGACCCAATTTTATTGACCTAGGTCAAACCGATGACGTCACAGGTCAGGTCAAAGGTCCAATTTTCACCGTTTACAGGCACTTCAAGAAATGCGTTGTAAAATCGAGTAAAATGCATTTCATTGAAAATCATCGATGGGGAAATGTTCTTCAAACACATATTTTGCTATTTGAGGTCACTGATACCAGGTCAGGTCACAGAGGTCAGGTCACGGGGGGGTCACAATATGAAAGTGTCGTGTGATACATGTTTTATGGTCCATTTTACATGACAAATGCGATTATATGGGTCAGGCAGCCTTTGGGGCCAGCTTAGATCACGTTTTGGTCAAGGTCAGGTCAAGGTCAGGTCAAGGTCAGGTCAAATTAGGTCAAATTTCAAAAATAATATTTTTGCATAAAATGGGTATCGAATCGATGCAGCTCGTCACGGGGAGTTCAATGGTGGTCTTTGTTTTGCCGTACGTGGTCTAGAATTGCTAAAAATTGAGTTCAAAAATTTGACGTCATCATTTTTGAACAGTTTTTTCGCTATAACTTGGCCAAAAAACGAGATATTGATCTGAAATTTGGTATGTATATAGAAGAGCGCTGGGACTATCACATATATTCCGGTTTTGTCGAAATTCGGAAAATTTTGGATTTTTTCAAAGTTTTTCTAAAAAAATCAATTTTTTGAATTTTTTTTGGTCAAAAACCAAAAATTTTGAAAATCCGAGATAGCAGTTTTGTAGCACCGCTTTTTGTCTACTAGACCATATAAAGAACTTTGAAATTGATTGATAACTGTAGATTTGGTGAGCGTTTCAAGATTGCATGTTTTTTGGTCATTTTTGCTCGAACATGACCTCAGTTTGACCTCAATAACTCCTGACCTAAGGTGACCTAAGACTTGAAATTTGGTGTGAAGGTGTCAAATTGATGCCCGGGAAGGTACTGAAAATTTGGCGGCGCTGCGCGCCGCCGTTTTCTTGCTATTCAGGAAAAACCACAGGGGGGGCCAAAATGGCCCCCCCCAACGGGGCGAGGGTTAAGTTATGACCCCATTTCACCACACGCAAGTGGCAGAAATGACAATGATCAGCTGACGCATTTTTCTTGGCCGAAGTCAGAGCGCGCGGCCCGACGCACCACCACCGCACCACAAAGTATGAGCAGAAGCCGCGCCCAAAGCCAGGGCCCCGGTAACGTGAGGTAGCCGAGTCGGGGCAGCGTGCGCTGACCCAAGCCGGGGCCGTAGCTTTGGGCGCGGTCTACCGCATCCCCGCGGGCAGCCCCGGGCTATCACATGACACCGGGAGGACGCGCGGCCCCGGCTTGGGTCAGCGCACGCTGCCCCGACTCGGCTACCTCACGTTACCGGGGCCCTGGCTTTGGGCGCGGTCTACCGCACCACCTAACAGGCGTGTTCGAAACCGCAGGAGATGATGATGAACGGGTTTATCGGAACTTGATTGGATGAGCATATCGGTAATAGCGATTTCAGTGTGTGCATTTAGTGTTCATAGTGGTGTGAAATGTGGTTGGGGTACGACCGACAACCCGTCGGGACGAATTTCGCACTGGGGTACTCAAAATTTGAAGAATTTAAGACGTTTCCATGAGTTTTGAAGGTATGGATAAGTTCTAAAAATCCGGTTCTCCTTATCTGGGCCATTAACTCCATACGGTCCACGAAAGCTGGCACACTACCTTTAATGAAACTTAACAGACAGCTTCGAACATGGGTGCCGGTTTAGATGATAAACGTCCAAAGCATTGATATAAGAGCAGCATTAAACCCATTTGCCAAAATTAGAGCACATAGCTTTAATAGTGTTGCAGCAGGCTTTGTTGAATGCATGTAAGTATGAAAAATATATAGGTAGTGCATTACTCGCCTGTTTGCAAGGCAGTAGTAGTAGAGAGCAAGTGGGGGGACGCCCTCACACTTCTTGGGCAGATCCGGCCCCTGGACGAGGTTCTCGCAGCTGGACGAAGAGTGGACTTTCGAGAGGTCAAAGTCATCAGGCAAACACTGGCGCGAGTCCAGAATGGAATAGGTTGAAGTCAGCTGCTCGGCGGAGAACACCGAGGCACCGGTACCTGTCGGTAGAAACCGGACTGTCAACACCTGTCTGATGTGTAGTTAGAACCCGGACTGTCAACACCTATCTGATGTGTTGTTGTAACCCGAACTGTAAACACCTGTCTGATGTGTAGTTATAACACGGACATCTGTCTGATGTGTACTTATATCACGGACTGTCAATACCTGTCTGATGTGTAATGCTTAGTGACGGTGGGAAACCTGAGCCCGGACTGTCAACACTTGTATGATGGGTGTATTTTGTGCAACTTTGTGAATGTGACTGTAAGGGTAGTTATTAGCCGGTAAGTCGGAAAGAAATCAAATATAAGTTGACCCTTAGTGAACTTTAATAGTTCTATATACCAAATAATGTAAAAATGATGTGGCTTACCCCGGTAATAGTTATAACGATATCTTCAACACCGGATACACACCGTACCGACTAGGAGACGGGTTTGAGGAAGGTTAAGTTTCCTTCCCTTGGAGCGATATATTACGATTTTGTATGAAAGTTTGCTTGGCAACTTCGTCTAAATTGATGAACTGGGGCTAAAGTAGGATTTTTCAAGCATCACAGATCGCCTTAAGTGCATAAATAAAGACCGCCCAGGACGAGCGAAAGGAAGAAATGGAAAGTAAAAAAGTAAAACCAAGAATAGGTAAGCTGATATCCGAAGGTTGGGACTTTTCAATAAAGAACAATCACTATTCGTTAGAATTGTGATTTTCTATTGAAAATCCCAACCTGAGCTACCTAAGGTATTGAGGGCTGAGGCCTCACGTCACGGAAGGAAGCACGGCCAGAGCTGCCTGTAATGGTCATCTGTCAAAACGACCACGAGCTAACGGACAAGGACCATTAGCTCACCAGTCGCGAGGACCACTAGCTCACCTGATACGAGGACCATTAGCTCACCAGTCGCGAGGACCACTAGCTCACCAGTCACGAGGACCACTAGCTCACCTGCTACGAGGACCATTAGCTCACATGTCACGTAACTCACCAGTCGCGAGGACCACTAGCTCACCAGTCGCGAGGAGCAGCGCCGCGGCCAGCAGGCAGACGGGGTGGACCGGGACGCCCATGCCGGCTGACTGGGTGTGGTCCGGTGCGGTCGACTGGGGGGACGCCGCCGATCTGTGTCCTCTGGGACCGCCGGCCGCTCGGAGGTCGACTCCGGCCGTGGGAGCGGCATGTGCGCTGCAGGGGTGGCGAGGCACCCCTTCCCGCTGCTGCCTGATACGGTCAGAGTGTTCTCTGAACACCAACAATAGTTAACTGTGGATTGTGTCGCCTCACATACAGAGCTCGCCATGCGGTGGCGTATTTATAGGTTATGCTGCCTCGCTGGCGTTGCGGACTAAACACAATGTGACAGGGGCAGTTTTATTCACATTCGCGCCGCAGTGTCAGCCATTTTTGTGGCAGAAATGTGGATACATAAGCACATTTGATTCCTAAAACACAAGCTCAGTGGATACCTATCAATGCAGGCTGCACCACGATCTATGATCTCATTCTACAATCTACACCCCACGTGGAAGATCCATCCTGAATCCTTCGTCCAAGAGGATCTACGAGTATGACAAACCACGAACAAGGTTCGAAGTCAAACACAACTGACAAGTGGATCCCGTCACACACAGCCGGCGCAGTGCGCAGTCATGATCGCAGGTGATTCCACGCCCATTGGTGTCATATCCCGCGCCCCGCTGGGGTCTGCCGACCAATGCGCCCTGCTAGGGGGGGGGGGCATTTTGGCCCCCCCCCTAAGATCTCGAGAACCACGCAGCATAGCGACAAGCGGTAAACGGTTTGGATAGCCCCATCAGGGAATTACCTTGTGACCCAATTTCGTTGACCTAGGTCAAACAGATGACGTCACAGATCAGGTCAAATGTCGAATTTTCACCGTTTACAGGCATTTCAAGAAATGCGTTGTAAGATCGAGTAAAATGCATTTCATTGAAAATCATCGATGGGGAAATGTTCGTCAAACACATATTTGCTATTTGAGGTCACTGATTCCAGGTCAGGTCACAGAGGTCAGGTCACTGAGGGTCACATTATGAAAATACCATGTGATGCATGTTTTATGGTCCATTTTATATGTCAAATACGATTATGTGGGTCAGGCAGTCTTTAGGGTCAGTTTAGATTATGTTTCGGTGAAGGTCAGGTCAGGTCAAGGTCAGGTCAAATTAGGTCAAATTTCAAAGTTGATATTTTTGCATAAAATGGGTATCGATTCGTTGCAGCTCGTCACGGGGAGTTCAATGGTGTTTTTTGTTTTGCGCTAGGTGGTCTAGAATTGCTAAAAAAAATTGTGTTTAAAAATATGACATCAATTTTGAACAGTTTTTTCGCTATAACTTGGCTAAAAAAGGAGGTATCAATCTATAATTTGGTATGTATATAGACGAGCGCAGGGACTATCACATATATGCCGGTTTTTTCAACATTCGGAAATTTTTTGGATTTTTTTTAATTTTGCTAAAAAATCCATTTTTTGAATTTTTGGGGGTCAAAATCCAAAAAAAAATTAAAATCCGAGACTGCAGTTTTGTAGCGCTATCTTTTGTCTACATGACCATATAAAGAACTTTGAAATTGCTTGGTAACTGTAGCTTTTGTGAGCGTTTCACGATTTCTTGTTTTTTGCTCATTTTTGCTCGAACATGACCTCAGTTTGACCTCAATAACTCCTGACCTAAGGTGAACTAGGAATTGAAATTTGGTGTGAAGGTGTCAAATTGATGCCCGGAAAGGTACTGAAAATTTGGCGGTGCTGCGCGCCGCCGTTTTTTGCTACTTTGGAAAAACCACAGGGGGGGGGGGGCAAATTGCCCCCCCCCCCCAGCGGGGCGAGAGTTATCATTAGACCACACTGCTGGTTGTGGACTGTGGTTGAATATTCGGGATCACTACATAAAGACCTTAAAAACGCGCACCTGAGGTAGTGTGGGCCAATTTCCCACCTGTGGGGACAGTTATCCCCCTCCCCCTAAGATCTCGCAATCAAAGCAAGCCAGCGACAAGCAGTGAACGATATGGGAGGGGGAAAGGTAAATGTTGATACTCGCTTGAGTCAAAAGCTACCTATTGCATATTTTTTGTGTGTGTAAAAACTGCTATTTTTGGAGTTTTTGTCCTCTGGAGGGTAAACCGTTGACCTGAGGTCAAATCTGAAAGCAATGTCCCGCCGAAAGACCTTTAACCCGCGACCTGGTGGGGGGGGCTATTTTTTGCCCCCCCCCTCCAGACTTTTCGATATATCTCCAGAACCGCTGCGCCGATCGTCACAAAACTTTCAGTACCCTCCCGGACATCAATTTTACACATTTTGACCAAAAATTTTTCCAAAAGCTATGATAGGTTGGCCGGAAATGACGTCAGAGTGACGTCATGTTCTGCCGTTTTCGACCCAAAAAAGGGTTTCGCGGGAAGAGCTGTCAGGCCTATAGCTTTGCAAATACAGAAAAATGTTTAGGACATAAAAGCTGTAGAATTGACAGGGCTACAAAACTGCTATCTCGGATTTTTGAATTTTTTTGATTTTGACCCCCAAAAATCAAAAAATAGAGTTTTGGGTTATAATAGTCAAAAAATCCAAAAAGTTTTTTGAGTTTCGCAAAAACCGGAATATATGTGATAGTCCTTACCGCCTTCCATCCACATACCAAATTTTAGATTGATACCTCTTTTTTTGGCGAAGTTATAGCGAAAAAACTGTTCAAAATTGATGACGTCAAATTTTCAAACTCAATTTTTAGCAATTCTAGAACTTGTAGTGCAAAACAAAGACCACCATTAGACTCCCCGTGACGAGCTGCATCGAATCAATACCCTTTTTATGCAAAAATATCAACTTTGAAATTTGACCTTTTTTGACCTGACCTTGACCTGACCTCCACCAGAAAGTGACCTAAACCGTACCTGATGGTCTTATAACCAACACCATTGGGTTGGAAATGAAAAACTGGCCATAAAACATGCATCGCACAACCTTAGTAAAGTTGGGTTCATGTGGTGACCCTTGGTGACCTTTGGTGACCTGACCTGTGACCTGACCTGGTATGACCAGTGACCTCTAATAGCAACATATGTACTAGACAACTGACGTCTTATCGCTGATTTTCGACAAAATGCGTTTTACTCGGTGTTATAGCGCTTTCCCTAGAAGCCCCGTGAACGGTGAAACATTTTATCTTTGACCTGACCTGTGACGTCATCGGTGATCCCGAGGTCAATAAAATTTGGTTTCCCTCGACAAATTTGACAGGGCTATCGAACGCCGTTTGAATTTTGCGAATCCGTCCATTAGTTTCGGAGATACGAGGGGGGGGGGGGCAAAAAATAGCCCCCCCCCCACCAGGTCGCGTTATAAACAGACCCCACCAGGGCGCGGGTTAAAAGAGCTATCGAATGCGCTTTCCCGCGGCGTTGTATGTAGCCAGGGGCGTCGCCACGGATTTTTGAGTGGGGGGTCGGGTTTCCGGTCTTCGTCTTGATGGGTAGGGGTGTTTTTAGCCACACTCCCGGTTTTTTCGTGTGCCCGGAGAAAAACCTCGGCGCACAGCGCCGCGAAAGCAGCGGTATATCGTATTGTACATCAATTTTGCATCGTGCATAAAAATCAAGCAGAGGTCACCCGAGGTCAGGTAACAATGTCATGTCAAGTTCAGTTTTAATGCCTCTTAAAACTGCAATCTTGTCATTCCTATAGATTATCTCCTGACTCCTATAAGTCTGAAATTTGGTGTAATGAATGGGATTATAAGTGCCAACAGTTCATGAATCTGGGATTTTACATCTGAGAAGCGAAGTCAGGTCAAATAGGTGTGTGACCTCACCAATCATGATAAGATATGGGGAAAAGCACGATGCCCTCTGCTTTGAAAGAATATGCTAAAAACGCTAGATACTTTTGTAGCCATGACACCTTGTTCATTTTAGAGATAAGGTGCAGCTAATGACCAGTGGTGACTGAAATGGTCAGTCATTAGGTCATCAAAGGTCTCTAACACATTTTCGACTATAACTTTTGATGGAGACGTTGTAGAGCGATGACAGCACCTGGAGTGTGTTCAGCTCAGTAACACAGATCGATCCATATGCAGCAGGTTCTTTTCCGGTCAGGTCATGACCTTTACCTGATGTCAAGTTTTCTATTCAAGTTTTTAAGTTCAAATTGTAAGCCATGCGACGTGTTTCGACGAAACAAAAACGATGGTGATAACATGAATATCATACACATTCACTGAATCATAGGTTGTTACAGAACAAATGTTTCGGCAAAATCCGTCCGTTTAGCTGTTTGGACTCTATGGTACACAAGCCTGAAGCCATAGACCCGAAGTCATATCTGAGGCGAAGTTGGCGAAAGAGCTTTAAAAAGCTATCGAATACGCTTTTTGTGTTGCTGTAGCTCTTATTCGTATTTTGCGGGTCGCTAAGGTAAAACGTTTACCAACGTAACGCATAAGGCATGCTTTCGGCCCCTGATCGAGGTAGAGTTTCGCGGAAGAGCGAAAATGCTGCCCGTGATGAGAGAAAGCCGATGATGCCCAATTTCAAGGTCTTGGCCGGGTCATCTTAGGTCAACGCCCAAAAGTAGGAAAAATCTGGCCGCCTGCTAGAACTTAGTGAGCCGTAGCTGTTATCGGGGTCCCGAGTACGAGTTCGATGTTAGTCTTGAACAAAGATGATGACTCCATGCATTTTGGGTAGATCGGGTCGGGTCAGGTCAGGTCGACCAGCAGGCTTCCTGCCGGCCATCTAGAATGGGTGACTGACAACCACCAACGATAGCTTCGTAACATGTTACATAACCATCATTTATCAAAACTACTTGAAACGGCTCAAACGGGCGCTAAACTCGAAATCAGCCCCAAAAACCACACTTGTAAGTGGAAGCAAATAAAACTCAAAAAAGTTAACCAAGGTCATCCATATTCGAATCAGGGCCATTTTTTTTTAGAATAGGTGTAAAATTCATTAACTCGAGGTCACTGGAAGTTTCGTTGCAATATACTCCTTTTTGCGCGTCTTATAAGGAAAGCCCCAGAGGGATCCACCATCTGACCCCATTTCTCCTATGCAGGCAGGTCCGAGGGTAGCAGGGCTGAGGCTAGCCAGGTAGGTACCTCGTAGTTACTGATACGTCATCCGACGAATCGACTGCAACCATTATTTTGACAATCAGACGAACGCTTGGGTCAGTTTTGACGCGCTCGCTCATTTGAGGGATAAAAAGGGACTAAAATCATATTGGCATGCTGATGTTCTAGCCCACAGCTTATTGATCTATAAGATAGGGACTAGGGAGCTCTTGAAGCGATTCTGAATCTGACGTTGTATTTGTTGATGTTGCTGACGCCAACTTCCCTGACATGATAGCTTAAAAAAAAGCATACTCAACATCGCCAAAAGTGGGGGGTCGACCCCCCCGGTTCTGACGAGTGGGGGGGGGGGGGTCGCGACCCCCCGACCCTCCCCCCCCGTCGGCGA